TCTGGAGTGGAGCCCAAGAATTCACAGGGCAGAGTACTGGAATAGAACGCTGTACAGAGAGTGAGCTCTGATTATGCATAGCAACTTGGATGAAGCGGAGAGCATGAGTCATCAGTTGAATGAGATCAGCACAAGTGTGTAAGGAAACTACTAGAAGCCATGCAGAGAACCACATGACGATAACAGAAGGCAACATGCTCGGAGCTCATAAAGGGCTTGGGATAGTTTTCTTTGCACCAGTTGGAGTGGAAAACCAAGTACTGCATGGGATTTCCAGAAGGGATTTCTGCAAGATAGTAGGCAAAAGTTAGCACTAGGCTAGATTCTGCTCTGCTCACACCTAACAAAGCTCAAAAGCGAGACTCAAAAGCATCTGTTGCCATGTAATTGAACTGTGTTCCAGAACAGAGCTCAGGGTGCTTATAAGAATACAAATATATCCAACATTCAGTAAGTGCCTTGCAACAAATCAGCACTTATCAGTCATGTAAAAAGAAAACATAAACCATAATTAGGAGAGAAATAAGTCCATTTAAATCAATCCAGATATGTTGCAGATGATAGAATTAGTAGATAAGGACAATTAAAACTTTTTTTTATGACTACATTGCAAGTAGTTAAGAAGGTAGAGGAAAGATTGAGCATGTTGAAAATGGAAAATATTAAAAAAAACACACACACACAAAAACAACAACTATCCAGAGATAGAAAATAAAATGTCTGAGATAGATATACACTGGATCACATTAACATGTAGATAATATTATATGAACAGAAGGAAGGTTAGTAAATGTGAAAACATAGCCACAAAATATCTGAAATAAAGCAGAGAGAAAAAAGACTGAAAGAAAAATAAACAGAGCCATAGAGGAGAGGAGTATGGGGCAACTTCAACTTCCAGTAGCCAAATATACATGTAACTGGAGTCCATGAGGAGAGGATCTGGGACAAGGGAACAGAAGACCTATTTGAGGAAATTATGGCTGAACATTTTACAAATGTGGTGAAAATTATAAACCCACATATTCAGGCAGTTTAACAAATTCTAAAAAAGCTACACCAAAGCATATCAATCAATTTGCTTACAACTGGTACTAAAGAGAAAATATGAAAAACAGCCAGAGGAGAGAACTAAGATGGCAGCATAGGTAAACACCAGTACTTACCACCTCCCACAACCACATCAGAATTACAACTAAAGTACAGAACAGCCATCATTCAGAACCACCTGAAAGCTGGCAGAATGAAAATTCTACAACTAGAGACGCAAAGAAGCACGAGACTGGTAGGAGGGGCGGAGGCACAGAACAGGCTGGTCCAACACCCACATGTGCCCTTTTTATAATAAGGAGGATATCTTAGCTGCAGAGGCCTCCTCTGAGGATCCAGGGGTCCCAGTCCCACACAAGACCCCCAGCCCAGGGTTCCAGAGCTAGGAAGAGAAGTCCTCATAACTTCTGGCTTTAAAAACCAGTGGGGATTGTGGTGGAGTGACAATGAGGCTGCTGGAATCCCAGGCAGTTTCTCTTAAAGATCCTGCACATGAACTTACATAAACTTACTCTCTCTGAACTCCTGCGCTGGGACATCAGCTTGCGGGGGATCCAGGGACATATGGGTAGGAACTGGACTGTCTGGCATGGGAGTGGCTTTCTCTCAGACAGAGAAGCTTGCAGGGTTCATTGTTCCTGTGCAGAGACCTTGCAGCCGTAGAGCTGACTGGTAGCCATATCTGAGTTTCCATCATCGTGGCTCACTGTGTTCACTCTACCCTGGTATTCCCTCAGCCCTGCTCCATCCAATTTGAAGCCCCACCCAAGCTGTTTGTAGTGGGTTTTTCATATGATTGCCTTGTCCTGGGTCAGGCTTTAGACTGCTAAAATCTCTCAAACAAGCAATGGCTGGGGTCAGTGTGACCCATACCTAGCAATAAGAGATCCACAACAGCTTGGCCTCCCCTGGGCTCTTCTAAAGCCCAACACAAGCAGCAGCCAACTGAGGATTGCTCTGTAGCTCCTGCTGAGTGGCCCCAGAGCCAGTGCACTTGGTGGACAGCTTCAGAACATACCATGCTACAACTTTACACATACATGAGCGACACACTCAAGGGGCAGGCTCACTTGTGAAGCATCACAGCTGCAGAGCAGCACAGCTGTGAGGTAACCCTGGGGAGATGCAGCCCCGACCTGCTCCACCTGCTTCTTTCACTCGGCCCTGCGCTGTGCAGTGCCAACTTGCTCTGTGTCAGTCTACTACTCACTGTTTGCTCTGCTCCACTGTGGTCTGGTGAGATGTCTTTAGCGTTTCATCTGTGGTATTTCAGCTCCAGCCAGGGAAATGAAGTCTTCAGTCTTCAGTGGAAAGGAAAAATACACTTCAGGGCCAGAGGGGAGCTAGTTTACTAGACAGAAATCTGTACCCCTGGTCCCTGATTGGTTCATGCTCATGCAAATGAGGACTCCAAATTCTCACAGTTTGACTGGTTCAAAAGGCTCTGTCCTTACTGGTCAGAATGGAGCTGCCCTGATTGATTACTGAAGATGCTGATGGGAGATACCGCTGTGCAGCTCCAATTGGATGGAGAAAGCCTCAATCCTTTTGTTTGAAATAGGATCCAGGAACTCCTTTATAAGGGCTGGCTCAGATGGCAGGAACAGTGCAGGCAGGCAGATTCCTCTCTGAAGTGTGGTTTGCATGAGAGGCCACTGTGTAGAAATGGCTGCCAGGCTCTGCTTTTAAATTTGAGACCACTTAGTCATCAGTAGCCCTTATGGGTAGGTATCTTTTTTCTCAGGGTCCACAGGTAATGCTGTCAGATCTCATGGCTACCTTCTGTTTGACCCGCTTCACTCACTTATATCATCTGGCTGCCCCCTGTAAATGTGTTTGTCTCAGAATCATCTGAGGCAGTTTTTATTTTATATTTAAACGCTTATGCTTGGAACCAGCCTGCTGCAAGTCTGCTCTAGTGCTGGGCTGGGCGACTGTAATGTGCAGCAGGTGAGAATCACCCTCTTAAGACAGAGCCTTGGGTGTGAACATCCCTTTGTTAAGGACTTTCACAGGAACATGGGCTCTTAAGAGTGGGGACTTATTTTGGAAACTTCCTTTTTAAATACATTTTTAGTGATTTCAGAAGGAGGAAGGGAGAGGGGGAAACGGAGATAGAAATATTAATGATGAAAATCATTGATTGGCTGCCTGCTGCACGCCTCCTACTGGGGATATGCCCTGACTGGGAATCGAACCCTGACCTCCATAGGTCGAGGCTCAACACTGGTTGGGTGGTAACTTCTTACTGACTCTGTCCCTGAAATATCTGGTAATAGGTTCTTTAAAGCTGTAACATAAATGAATGTGTTATATTTGTATGTGTTTGACCTCTAAAAAGCATATGTACTTAAAAAACACATTTCCTGGGTCAGCCAGTTTTGTTAAGTGGATAGAGTGTCAGCCTGTGAACTGAAGGGTCCCGGGTTCAATTTGGGTCAAGGGCATGTACCTCAGTTGCAGGCTCCTTCCTGGCAGGGCCCTGGTCAGGGTGTGTGCAGGAGGCAACCAATCACTGTGTTTCTCTCACATTGATATTTCTCTTTATCTTTCCTCTTTGTTTCCCTTTCTCTAAAAAATCAATGGAAAAATATCCTTGAGTGAGGATTAAAAAATAATAATAAAAGAAATAAAGACAAATAATTAAAAAACAAAACAAAAACACATTTCCTAATTCAGATATGTGGGTTTTTATAGGTAACACATCCATGAGGTTTTAATATCAAACTATAAAAGGGAATAGAGTGAAAGTCTCCTTCCCACTTACGTTCTCTATCTGACCAGTACAGCATGCTCCCTCCCATGAAGGTATAAGTGAATGCAAACATACATTTTTATTTTTTATTTTTACTCAAAGGTAGCTTATTAAATAATGTTAAACTTTATGCTGTCTTTGTTGTCAACATATCTTGAAGATCTTATATTAGTAGAGAACTTCCTCCTCCTTTTTTTGATTGTTTTGCAGTTGAAAAATGCTTCATTGTTTGGGCATATTATAATTTATTTGACAAGTATCCCCAGTGAAGGACTTTTGGATTTTTCTAAGCACTTGCTATTTTAAACAAGTAAAGTTTCTACATTTGTATGTGTGTCATTTCACACACATGCACACACAGTGCAAAATCTATATGATAAATCTCTAAGTGGAATTGATGCACATGTTATTTTTTATGTATGTTATCAAATTGCCCTCTGTAGGGACTGTAGCATCCGATGTTATTAGTCAAAGCTAATATTGATATTTGTAATACTGTTTTAAAAAGAATATTTGCTGTTTTTGTTTTCTTTGCTGAGTTATCTGAATTTTGGTAAGATAATTAAGATTATTCTAGATCACTGGTTTCCACTATGGGCCAAAAACTTAAGGGGTTCCCAGATTTACATGCTAAATGAACATCAACTATATAAAAAGATAATGTTACACATGTGAACTCTATATTTCAAATGTACATAGATGAGATTGTCCTATATAATAAAAGCCTAATATTGCTAAGTGTCTGACTGTTCGACCAGTCACTATGGTGCACACTGACCACTAGGGGGCAGACGCTCGGCAGATGAGCTTGCTGCTGGAGTCCAGCAGATCGGGACTGGGCAAGAAGCACACACACCCTGGAGCCAACCTCCCTTGGTCCCTCCCCTGCCTCTAAAATATTTCTGCTAATTAATTTCCTTTCAATGTGCACGGATCCCTGCACCGGGCCTCTAGTGTCTAATAAAATGCCAGTTTTTTCAGTAGTGTTACTGGCTTCTTGGCTCAGCTACTAGCAGCTTGGCATCTTATCAGTGGTTCCCTTGTTTCACATGATCTTGGACCTTGCCAGAATGTCAGCTTTATTTTGTGTCCCATCACTTTTGTTTTTTTTAAGTAGTTTAGACTGGAGCTATGGGAGTACAGAACCAAAAGACTGCATATGCTTTTTATAATAAAAATAATCTTTTTCTTACAGATATTCCTTTAAGGACCAGCCTGCCACCACCATTCAGAAATTATAAATATGGTAACCAATTTTTCTTATTTTTTCTAAGCATATATTAATGTAATGTCACATTAGTTTTACATTGATATGAATTTAAATTTGCTTTGCAAAAATGAATTTGTAAGTAAAAACTAATATGGACATTTATTTAGAAATATAGGAATTCTGATAGTATGTCATTAAAATATATGTGATTGTGCAGGGAAATGACCTATTTGTGAGGACTAACATGTTGGCAAATTGTGTCTGAAATGAATTCTTTGCCGGGAAATCAGAAAAGGAGAAATGATTAAAGATTAGGAATAAAAAAGAAGATATTTAAAATTTTAAATGCTAGTAACTTAAGTGTGTTGTGCAGTAATTTTTATGTTGCAATTATTATTTTTTAATGTTTATTGTTGAAAGTATTATATATGTCACCTATTTTCCCCGTTGACCCCCTCCAGACCGCCCCTCCCACCCCAGGCCTTCATGTTTCAGTTATTGATTTTAAAGTGTAGTAATAAGGCAGCAGTAAGCTGGGTTTCACTGTTCGTTATAAAGATGGTACAGTTGGTTATTAACCTTTAGCATAGTGATACTCACCAAACTGAGACTTCTCTCGAGAATTATGGTGCATCTAATAAATATTTCTGCTAATTGGTATAGACATTTTAAAGTATAAATATTTTATTACCCTAGATAATTTTTTTTTGAGTAGCTTTTAATTCTGTTCCCATTTGGTAGAGCAACTTCTGACCTAAAATTCTTTGAGTCACAGCCTTCCCCCGTGTGTATGCATTTTAATATCCAGAGACTAATTGTGAGGTCATTGGGGGTAGTCAGGCAGAAGCTGAAGGCACTGAGTGGAAAGTACTTTGATTTATTGGACTTAAAGAATTTACCTACTATATACTGAGTAAGAGAAAGGAATAAAAAGCATGATTAGGTAAATATGAAACTTCTCAGTTCTGGCCTTCATGGCTTTTAAAACACAATGCCTTGGAATAGCACCTGAAGCTTGCATCAGTCTTCAGACGCCATTTCCGTAGAAAATTACTGCACAACACACTTAAGTTACTAGCATTTAAAATTTTAAATATCTTCTTTTTTATTCCTAGTCTTTAATCATTTCTCCTTTTCTGATTTCCCGGCAAAGAATTCATTTCAGACACAATTTGCCAACATGTTAGTCCTCACAAATAGGCCATTTCCCTGCACAATCACATGTTCATGGCTTCCCTCTTCTGCATGGTTTGTGTCTATATTCAGATGAGAGATAAGTTTTAGGTAATGAAAGGGTCATAATACCTGGCTGCCAGTCATCATGGGGGGTATGTATCTTCTACACGATTTTACCTGATTGATATCTTTTTAACCCAGTATTCCTGCACTATTCAGAGGAATTGGCAAGAAAAATGAATATGCTTATCTGTGAGAAATGAGAGAAGTACAAGGCTTAGATAGACTTCAAGTGATTCTGTCTGAATTTGGCTCCTCAACAGTCTGCTGCTTTGTGTTCAACAAGGAAGGCTGAAGGGTTACTTTCCTACCAGTCACTGTCCAGGGCTGCTACGTGCCCTGTGGGAACAGAACTCTTTGGGTGTTAGGGAGTGGAAAGGGCACAGAGGCGGATTTCAGTTTTGTTAGTTGCTGTCTCCTTGCCCTGGGACAAAGGGCTGGTTCTCGGCCAGGCGAGGCCACAGAGAGTCTAAGGTTTCTCAGAGCCCTTCATTCATTTATAAATGTACTAGAAGCCCAGTGCACGGATTTATGCATAGGTGGGGTCCCTTCGCCTGGCCTACACCCTCTCACAATCTATTGATAGGACCCCTCAGGGGATGTAGCAGTGCCAAAGTGGCAGACGACCAGGGAGGAGCCCTAGCTGAGGGCCGGGTATAGCTCTGCTGCTGCTCATCTCGGCCCTGCTGTGCCTGTTACTGCCGCCCCCTCCCCTTACAACCCTCCCCCTCTTCCCCGTAGCACTGCCAGGGATGTGGGAGAGGGTCCTGAGCCATAGCTGTGATCGCCAGCAGTGGGCCCAGCTTCTGGCTGAGTGTACTCCTGCTGTGGGAGCACATTGACCACCAGGGGGCAGCTCCTGTGTTGAGAGTCTGCCCTCTGGTAGTCAGTGTGCATCATAGCGACTGGTCTGCTGATTGTTTTGGTTGTTTGGTTGTAAAGGTCGCTTAGGCTTATATATATACAGACTAGAGGCCTGGTGCATGAAATTTGAGCACAGAGTGGCAGGGGCTTCCCTCAGCCCGGCTTGCAACGACGCAAGCATCCTGTGTGCCCTGGCTGGCCTCTGGCCAGAGGCCCACCCACCCATCCTCTCTCCCAGCGCCCCAGCCATTATGGGCGCTGCCATATTTGTGACTGAGTGATGATTGATTTGCATATTACCTTTTTATTAGATAGGATTCCTCTCATTTAGTTGGCATCTACATGTATTTTTTATTTACCTTGACCAGACTGTGTTCCTACAGCACAGGGCATGTTGTTTTATTTTTAAATCCTTGTTGCCCAGGCACGTCCATTGTGCAGTGTGGGGCTGCTGATCCTATTTGTTTTATAAGGCTGCATGAGCTTAAACAGTGCACATGCAAACACATTAAGTACCCCACAAATATAAAACATTTTTATTTTTATGAGGTTACTTTCCTCAAGGAATTTGCATTAAGGAAACAATACCCATAGATATTGCTTCTGAAGCTTTTTAAAAAAGAAGTAAAAACAATCACAAGATCATTGAGCAAAGGAAGGGACATTAATACACCTTTTGCTAGCTCATGATTCTCTTTCCTGTGTCTTTCAAGTCTTACCAATTTCTGTTGGAGAGAAAAATCTGGTGAAAATTTCCATTCAAAGCATTTATTTTCTGCTAAACAATATGGCCTTTTTATTGTGTGCTGCAGGACTTATTAGAACAAAGATATTTCTAATTTAGTGGCTCATTACAAAATATACAGAACATGATTAATATTTGATAAGGTCAAACTCCAGTTTTGCAGGTTGATTGTCCTTTTACTAAGCATCAATTACAAATCAGAATTGGATTCTCTAACTTGTGTCTAATAAACTGAAATCTACCTATATTGAGAAAAGGAGTATAGAAGATAACTCAATAATCGATGATCCAAAAGCCACATTTATTTATTTTCTTTTGTACCCTTGTGAGCTAATTTTTAGCAGTTGTGGCATATTTACATTTCTTATGTTCATATTTTGCTTAGATTAGATTTCTTTTTATTTCTTAACAATACATAGGATTAGGCTGACTTTGCATTAAGAATTGCAATAGATCATTGAAATTTGACTACTTAAAATAATGGATAATTCAGAGTGCTAGTTCTTAACTGGATAGATACTCCTATCCTCTTATATTATTAGAACATAGTTAAATCAGGGTCTGTTTATTTATAAGATATATTTTTATTAATTTTAGAGATGAAGAGAGAGATAGAAAGAAAGAGAGAGGGGGGGGAGAAACATTAATGATGAGAGAATCATTGATTGACTGCCTCCTGGATGCCCCACACTGGGGATCAAGCACATACATCCTGGCATCTACCCTCACCAGGAATCAAACAATGACCTCTTGGTTTATAGGTCAATGTTCAACCACTGAGTCCCACAGGCCGGGCTCCGGATCTCTTCTTTTAAATAGATCCTGTTATGCATTTTACTGTTGGGGTTCCTCATTAAATCAAACAGTGTGATGGATAGAAATGAATTTCACTTTAAGATTAAGAGTTTATTCAGGTATAATAATACATGTAATCATAATACATTAATTAAATGTTTAAGTAAAACTGAGTGAAAATTGAAAAATATCTTAAGTTAAACTGTGGAATGCTATGTCTATTATATGATTAAGAGCTGGTTATCGGTAGTCGGAATTATACCCAGTGTGGAGGAATTTCTTACTGGAAAAGCACAGTGCAGCCTCACTGTAGGGTGAACAGATGAAGGAGAGGAGGAAGGAGTGAATGAAGCAGGTGAGGGGGAAGCCTGTGCAGCGGGTGAACACTGGGCGGCAGGTATCGGTACTCCCTGTGCGTGAGCAGCGGTTCGGGTTCGGGTTTCCAGGGATCTGCGATGGTATTTGAGTCCTTGGTGTGCTAATGACTTGTCACTGTGATCCTTTTACCTCCTGCCACTGGATCTGTTCTGAGTGATTAGTGAATATTTTGGAACTGTGTTTGATAATGTCTGTCTTAATTTAAGACACTTTTTTACACTGTTTTCAATTCTTAACATTTTGCAACTTCAAAGACCAGGAAAAAGTGGTACGGTTCACTTGTCTTCTGTTCTGAGGGACATGTGCGGAGTTGACTTCAGGTTATGACACACACACCACTGGGTGGTTAAAGACCAAGGCTTTAAAATGTCTTTGTACTGTAAGCTTTAATTTTAATGATATACAAAAGTAATTTTCCTTTTACTTACTGTATAGTAGACTTTTAAGAGAACCTGGTCATAAAGTAAGGACTTAAATATTTTAATGTCATAGCCACCTTTCCCTCATCTCTCTTTAATAATTAGAAATGAAGTTTTAGAATAATCTTTGTAAGAAGATAATTTGCTTTTTTTTTCCAGATAAATTGAAGATTATTCATCAAGCACATAAATCAAAGGTACAGTATCTGGCACATAGCAAGTAATCAATGTTGATTGACTTAGTGAATAAATGAATGAAGACATGAACTTCTAAAATATTTTCATCATAGCAGCGTTTTATTTTGGAAAAAAACCTACTACAGCTTTATTTTTCCATTAAAAAAAAAAAGTCTAAGGCATATGCCTGTACATAGTAGATTCTTTAAAATGGGTTAATTTTTTTTTGTCCTGACCAGTTTAGCTCAGTGAACAGAGTGTTGGCCCATGAACTGAAAGGTCCCAGGTTTGATTCTGGTTAAAGGCATGTACTCGGTTTCAGGCTCTATCCCTGGCCCTGGTCAGGGTAAGTGTGAGAGACAGCCGGTCAGTGTGACTCTCTCATATTGATGTTTCTCTCTCCGTCTCTTCGCCTTCTCTCTCTCTCTCTCTCTCTCTCTCTCTCTCTCTCTCTCTCTCTCTCTCATCTAAAGTTTTACATATGACTCATTTTCCCCCCAATTAACCCCCTCCCCACCAAGCCATTCCCACCACAGGCAAGCTCCCACGCCCCAGTATCTGTGTCCATTGGTTATGCTAATATGCATGCATACAAGTCCTTTGGTTGCTTCCTAAATGCCCCCCCCCCACACACACACACACACCATTTGTCTCTGGATGGATGTATTCTTGTTCATCAAATTATGTTGATCATTATTTCCCACATATGAGTGAGATCATGTGACATTTATCTTTCTCCGACTGGCTTATTTCACTAAGCATAATGCTCTCCAGTTCCGTCCATGCTGTTGCAAATGTTAAAAGTTCCTTCTTTTTTTTTATATAGCGGCATAGTATTCCATTGTGTAAATGTACCAGTTTTTAATCCACTCATCTGCTGATGGGCATTTAGGCTGTTTCCAAATCTTAGCTATTGTAAATTGTGCTGCTATGAATGTAGGGGTACGTATATCCTTTCTGGTTGGTGTTTCTGGCTTCTTGGGATATAGTCCTAGAAGTGGGATCACTGGGTCAAATGGGAGTTCCCTTTTAACTTTTTAAGGAAACTTCATACTGTTCTCCACAGTGGCTGCACCAGTCTGCATTCCCACCAGTGGTGCTTTTTCTCCACATCCTTGTCAGCACTTCTTGTTTGTTGATTTATTGATGATAACCATTCTGACAGGTGTGAGATGGGACCTCATTGTTGTTTTGATTTGCATCTCTTGAATGATTAGTGACTTTGAACATGTTTTCATATGTCTCTCGGCCTTCTGTATGTCCTCTTTCAAAACTGTCTATTTACATCCTTTGACCATTATTTGATTGGATTATTTACCTTCCTTTTGTTAAATTGTATGAGTTCTTTGTAAATTTTTGAGATTAAGCCCTTATCAGAAATATCATTGGCAAATATGTTCTCCCTTGCAGTGGGCTTTCTTGTTGTTTTGTTGATGGTTTCTTTTGCTGTGCAGAAGCTTTTTATTTTGAGGTAGTCCCATTTGTTTATTTTCTCCTTAGTCTCTATTGCCCTAGGATCTGTGTCTGTAAAGCTATTACTACAACATATGTCTGCTATTTTGCTGCCTATGGAGTCTTGCAGGTTTTTTATGGTTTCTCATCTTACATTCAAGTCCTTTAGCCATTTTGAGTTTGTTTTTGTGTATGGTGTAAGTTTCATTTTGTTTTTTTTGCATGTATCTGTCCAAATTTCCCAGCACCGTTTATTAAAGAGACTGTTTTGACTCCATTGTATGCTCTTGCCTACTTTGTAAAATATTAATTGAGCATAATGGTTTGGGTAATTTCTGGGTTCTTTATTCTATTCCATTGATCTATATGTCTGTTCTAGTGCCAGTAACAGGCAGTTTTGAGAACCGTGCTTAGTAATATAGCTTGATATCTGGTATTGTGATCCCACCAACTTTGTTCTTCTTTTTCAGGATTACTGTGGCTATTTAGGTCTTTTTTTATTCCGGAAATATTTTTGAAGAATTTGTTCTAGATCTTTGAAGTATGCCATTTGTATTTTAATAGGGATTGCATTGAACTATAGATTCCTTTTGGTAGTATGGACATTTTAATGATGTTGATTCTACCAATCCATGAACATGGTGTATTCTTCCATTTGTTTATGTCTTCCTCTCTCTCTCTTTTTCAATGTCCTAAAGTTTTCCGTGTATAGTTCTTTTAGGTTCTAGTTAAGTTTATTTTTAGTTATCCTAATTTTTTTGGTGCAATGGTAAATGGGATTGTTTTTTTTCCTTTCTCTTTCTGCGAGTTCATTATTGGTGTATAAAAAGGCCATAGATTTCTGGGCATTAATTATGTATCCTGCTACATTGCCAAATTCGTTTATTAGGTCTAATAGGTTTTTCATGGAGTCTTTGGGATTTTCTATATATAGTGAAGGTGATGATGGTGATGATATTGGTAGTGGTGATAATGATGATGATGTTATGAGATAGTGATGATGATGGTGGTGATGGTGGTGCTGCTGCTGCTGCTGATGGTGATGATGGTTGTGGTGGTGGTGGGCTAAGATGGTTGTGATGATGATGAGATGGTGATGATGATAATATGAGAGGATGATGATGATATGAGATGGTGATGATGATGTTGGTGGTGGTAATAAGATGGTGGTGATTATGATGATGGTGATGATGGTGGTAGTGGGCTAAGATGGTTGTGATGATGATGAAATGGTGATGATGATGATATGAGAGATGATGATGATATGAGATGGTGATGGTGGTAGTGGTGGTGTGGCAGTAGCAGCAAGAGAGCAGTTAACGGTTAACTGAGAGTTCTTGCTATGTGACCGACACTATGTTGAGTGTTTTATATGCTTCGTCTCATTTCATCCTCACCACAAAGTAATAGAGAAGATGGGTCCTTTCCCCTTTTGTTCATACGAGGAGACCAAGTCTGAGAGAGGCTGTGTAGCTCATTGAGAGCACTCAGCCGGACATTGGTGGAGCTCAAAGCAGAGTGGTGTAGCCCTGTCTCGCTAGTGCTTTCCACAGTGTGCGCTCTTAGTAGGGGCTCACTGTCCATTCACTCCTCTCCTTACAGAAGTGGGAGTCCAGTGTGACTCGGGTTATTATTATTTTTTTTGACTCAGGTTATTGCTGTGTCCTGACGTAACAATTCTATGTCTTTGAGAAATCTCACCACATACGAAGCACAGAAGTGCTGCTAAAATGCAGATTTTCCTTCTTTCTAGACAAACGAACTTGTGCTGAGTTTGGAAGATGACGACACACTCATGTTGAAAGAAGACCACACTCTGAAAGCAGCTGGAATCGGTGAGAAAGAGTGTGTGTGGTGCCAGCAGGAGCCCCTGCCTGCATGGCGACCCTGGCTGATTATACTTGGATAACTCACCACAAAGTAAAGGCTACTCTCGGTGCCCTAAACACCGCCTGATAATTATTCAGAGGAGGATGAGAAGGATGTACATTCAGATCCTTTCACTGAGGGCAGTAGTTATCCGCTTTCTAAATGTCCCAAATACAAATAGTTCTTTTCGGAAGGTGTGCTCAGAATTCTACGAGGGTTATTTTAAATGATTGGCAAGTTATTGTTCAGTAACTTGCTTATTCTTATCAGCCTCATTTGAGAGAGGTGGACCTGGTAGAAACTAATGTGGAATACAGAAGGGTGATGCTTGTAGCACATGCAGCATGGTTTCCATAGTTGTCCAGATCACTCCCGGCCGACCAGGTCACGGTATCTCAAATAGGAGCCTCGTGAGCACAGTTGAAAAATGGCCCGATTTAGCTTTTCAACCAGGAAAAGGCCTGCAGTTCTAGTTTAAATAAATGCTGTTACATATTTTGTGACCATTAGATGTCACTCTAATTCTACTCATATGCACACCTAAAGCTTATCTGGCAGCGGGAGTGAAGGTTCTGGGAGAGCGGTGAGCAGTTGAAGCCTTTATGCCTCTGACCCGCCTTTGTGGTCCATGACTAATGAGACGGCACAAGCCACACTGCACAGCTGCCACATGTACTCTGAGGAGCACTGTCCGGGAGACCCGTGTTAGGAGCCTCCCATGTTTTCTTGTTTTACTTTGTCACAAATGTCAGGAATTTACTTCTGAGTGATATATGTAACTAACGTAAGTACCTGACATATCTTATAATTTAAATAGGATTTTTAAATAACATGTTATGAAATGTTACACTTGGTTTCTATGTTTGTCCATACTATTTGCTAGATTAGTGTCTTTTCATATTATGATTGACCATATACATAAGGTTTATTGTTATTATTTGAGAAAAACTTTTTATTTTGGCATATATTTCTTCAAATGCAGTTGTATTATTATAGCAGGTGGCACCTGTGTTATTGAGGCACATGGCCCCTAGCACAACGCTATAATGAATATAACCAACTGGTGTTGATGCAGAAATCGACAGATCTATGGAAAAGAATAGAAAATCTAAAAACCAGTTAATAAAAAGTAAGGTTTCACAATTTGATCAATTTTTGACATCTCAAATAAGTGAGAAAAGAATGAATTAACCAAAACATGATGTCAGGCTCAATGCCAAAGCATTTGGGGAATTACAATTAAAATTTTAATCTCAGTCTTTATTCCAAAATAAATTCTAGTGGATTAAGTGTTATAATGTAAAATTAAAAAAAACACACACAAAATGTAGCCCAATACTTTTATAATCTTGGGGAAGAGAAGATCTCTAAGCATGACCACAAGCACTAAAAATAATGTAAACAGAGTTAAATGAGAAGCAATAACTATAAAAAAGTATTAGCATCATGTATGACACATGTATGAGCCTGATTTTATAAGAAGCACCAATAGTCTGAAAAAGATAAACAAGAAATTCTGATAGAAGAAATAGCTAACATGAAAAATAATTCAACCTTATTAGTCATGAGAAATACACATGAAAATAGATATATGTCATGTTCTAGTCTAAGGGTTAGGAATTAGACCTGGAGCCAGAGTGCTCAGGTTCATGGCTGATCTGCCACTTACTGGCTGGGTGGCCTTGGACCAGCGGTGATTATAGGACCAGCAGCATGAGGAAAGTGCTGGTGCTGGGAAAGGGGAAATCTTCAGAACTAGTGGTAGTGTCCATTACCTGTAACTTTCAGTTTGACCAATGGGGCTTCCTCACACTTAACGTGGTGTCTTGTCTATCGCCATGCCAGCAGGAACCTGCTTCCTCAAGCTCTGGCTCCTGTGAGGTAGTGAGATGTCTTCAGAGCGTGGCCGTGTTCTCTCGCCTCCCGTTAGTGAATCACTCGTGTGGAGCTTTATTTATTGACTGGAAATAGAATATATTGTGTCATACCTTTTTATTTAAAAGTGTACGTACTGCCCAGCTGATGTGGCCCAGTGATTGAGCATTGACCTATGAATCAGCATGGTTTAATTCCTGGTCAGAGCACATGCCCGGATTGTGGGTTCCATCCCAGTGAGGGATGTGCAGGAGGCAGCCAATCAATGATTCTCTCTCATCGTTGATGTTTCTATTTCTCCTTCTTCCTCTCTGAAATATATATATATATATATATATATATATATATATATATATATATATATTTTTTTTTTTTTTTTTTCATTTAATAAATCTTTATTGTTCAGATTATTACAGTTGTTTCTCCCTTCCCCCTCCCATAGTTCCCTTCCACCCGATTCCCACTCTGTCCTCTGCCCTTACCTCATCCATAAGTGTATGATTGTTGTCCAGTCTTTTCCTGAAACCCCCTCACCCCTTGCCCCCTAAGAATTATCAGTCCCCTCCCATTTTATGCACCTGATTCTATTATATTCACCAGTTTGTTCTGTTCCTCAGATTTTTAATTCACTTGATTTTTAGATTTACTTGTTGATAGATATGTATTTGTTGTTCATAATTTTTATCTTTACTTTTTTTCTCCTTCTTCCTCTTCTTAAAGAATACCTATCAGCATTTCATATCTGTGAAGCTCTTTATCTGCCCTTCAATTCTGAATGATAACTTTGCTGAATAGAGTAATGTTGGTTGTAGGTTCTTGCTATTCATCACTTTGAATATTTCTTGCCACTCCCATCTGGCCTGCATAGTTTCTGTTGAGAAATCAGCTGACAACCATATTGGTGCTCCCTTGTAGGTAATTAACTGTTTCTCTCTTGCTGCTTTTAATATTCTCTCTTTGTATTTGGCCCTTGGCATTTTAATTATGATGTGTCTTGGTGTGGTCCTCTTTGGATTCCTTTTGTTTGGAGTTCTGTGCACTTCTTGGGCTTGTAAGTCTATTTCTTTCACCAGGTGGGGGAAGTTTTTGGTCACTATTTCTTCAAATAGGTTTTTAATATCTTGCTCTCTCTCTCTTCTTGGACTCCCATTATTCTGATGTTGGTACGCTTGAAGTTGTCTCAGAGGCTTCTTACACCATCTTCAACTTTCTGGATTCTTTTTTCTTTTTTCTTTTCCAGTTGAATGTTTGTTGCTTCTTTGTATTTCAAATCTTTGACTTGATTCTTGCGTTCCACTAGTCTGCTGGTGGGTCTCTGTATAATATTCTTTATTTCAGTCAGTGTATGCTTAATTTCTAGTTGGTCCTTTTTCTAGAGGGTCTCGTTAAATTTATTGGCCTTTTCTAGGAAATTCTTGAAAAACCTTATAACTGTGGTTTGGAACACTATATTCATTCACTTATTTCCCTCCATTTCTTTTGTTTGTGATCTGTTTGCTTGTCTCCTCATTTTCGCTGCTTCCCTGAGTTGGTAGGGTGGCTTTGTGTGCTAGGTGTCCAATGGGTTGGCCTCTTAGTTACCTGAAGTGGACACTCTTGGCGCACCTCTTGTGGACCGTGTGCACAGCCTTTTTGTAGTTAAGTTTTGATTGTTGTTGGTGTCACTGGGAGGAATTGACCTCCAGGCCAATTGACTATGAGGACATGCTGTGTCTATAGTGGAAGAACTGCTGTGCTGGAGACACGCTTATTGGGGAGGACTTGTTCCCGTGGGGCTTTGATGCTCACTGAGTCTGCCTCTTGAACGTGTCCCTTATGAGAGTAGTTGAAATTTGGTGTCGTCTCACACTGACCACTAGCTTCTGGATCTCTAATGGGGTGCAGGTCAGCTACTGTCTGAGGCCACCCAGCAAGAGCTACAGCAGGAACTACAGTTTCTCCTCTTTGCTTTGGATTTGGAGGTTTTGGAGCTGTCTGACTGGAGTTGCAGTTTGCAGTTTGCTAGGTTAAGCTGAGATAGGGCAGGCCATTTATATGTGAAGTCACTGCACAAAGCTTGGGTGTGTTTGTAGATTGTGCGGGGCGGGGTCTTAGGGCCCCAAGAGACTAGGGTGTGGCAAACAGCCATGGCTGCTAGTCAGCCTTCTCTGCGTTTCCACATTTCCAAGTCCCCAAGTCCCACATTGCAGTAACAATAATTGCTGGGCACACCTCTGCAAGAAAGTCACCCTCACTTTCCGACCTGATGGCCGACAGTCCAGTGTCTCCCCAGAAACTGGATTTCAGAGTAATCAGGAGCTTGTCTCCCTTCAGGTTGAAAACAGCACATCCATTTGCCCACCACCAGCCCGATTCAAGTGCCTCCATTCCTCAGCTTTTCAGCACTTGTGCACGTCTCAATGCTCTTTTCTCTTTCCTTCTAGTTGTAGAACTTCCACTCAGCCAGATTTCCTGTGGTTCTGGGTGATAGATGTTTTGTCTTTTGGCTGTAATTTTGAAATTGTTATGTGAGGCAGCAGTTTAGGTTTACCTATGCCACCATCTTGGTTTTTCCTCAAAAATATATTTTTAAAATGTACATATTTACATGTCTGTATGTGTATATGGAGAAAAGAAATGGTTTCTCAGGGAGGTGACATTGCTAAAAATTGAATTTTCTTTCCTCACCGTACTATTGAATTGTTCTTGTAATTTAAAATTTGCCTATAGTTTACATATAAATTACATCTATTACTTGTGTAGAGATTAAAGTCCTAGAGTTAGAGAAAATTGATTTGAATGAAGGCTCGAATTTTACTTACTTTGTGGCCTTCAGTAAGCCGTTCAGCCTCTCTGAACTTCTGTTTCGACTTTTGTAAAACAAAACAGAAGTAATTAAGCCCATTTCAGTGGCTCATCACAGAGATGAGTAAAAACATGGATACAAGAGCATTTGAAGAAATGCATGCAAAGCTCTCAAAAATATTCATTTTATTTAGGAACCATTCTGGGGAAGATAATTGGCAAATGCCTTGAATTTATTAAAATATTGAATTGTTGGCGTAATTGTCATTAATTTCAGATTCATGTACTGAGTCACCTGTAAAGGTGAGGATCAATTCCATCATGTTTGTCTTCCTCGTTTTCCAGCCATAGGCCTTTGATCAGAACCAGATCCTTCGCATGCATTCCCGCTAGTCTCTGGGCGATTCGAGAATGTCCACTGCCCTCCTCACTGGCCAGCCCGCAGCCTGGTCAGGAGCCGCTTGGGCCACTGCTGGGACCTTTCTCTTCTCCGCACGGTCCTCTCTGCCACCCAGAGCGGTGGTGATGTACTCAGAGAACAGGCCGCAGTGCGCAGGGAAAGGGGACCCTGGAGAGCTGCGGTGTGAAAGGATCCTTGAAGCGTGTGATTATCCTGGGGGACCTTCCCTCCCTCGGTGCTGCTCTGGTTGGCTTTTTAAGAGGTTTAAGAGAAAAAATTCAAGTCCTCACTCTCCCCTTTACCACCGATCTGGCTGTGGAGCAGTCACTTTGCTCTCGCAGCCAGTTGACATGGGAATAATGCCAAGGTAACAAGACGTATCATTATGGCTTTTCTGCAGGAGTCATGAAAGGAAGAAGAGAGAGTAGGGGGTGGGGGGTGGGAGGGTGCAGGGGACAGAATTGTTTAAAGATTTCTTTTCTCACGGAGAAATTCTCCAGTTCCCGCTCTGGCCTTTTATCTGCACTGCAGATCCCAGCTGTGTGTTTGCCTGACGTGGGGATGTTGGTGTTTGTGGACCAGAGCTGGCACATAAGTCAAAAAGATTTGCTTTGTGGAAGGAAGAAAAAGGCTCCACCTAGAATTGTTACTTACTCTTTAAAGAAGTTTACCTTGTTTTTAACTATTGTAATTTCATGGACTAATTCCCCTAAGCAATGAATTTGCATGTAAAGTGGGGTGTTTTTTTGTGTGTTTTTTTTGTGGCACCACTATATTTTATCTTTAGTTTTGCTACATTCTACAACTGTTACACTTTTTGAATCCTCTCTGGCTTAGTAAATAAATTGTATCAGGGAAACTCTTCCAAAGCCAGTTGTGGTTTATTGGAAACTTTTTACAGGACACAGTAGGCCGTACTGTGAGCTTTCGTCTGGGCCTGGGCAGAGGAGGTGTGGGCCCAACAAGCAGGGTTCCAGACCGGGGGCCAGAGGAGCCTCCCATAAGCCATTCCTCTGATTCCTCCCTCCCATTGTGGAAATCACAGGCATGTGTCCTGCCTATCAAATAGGCTTATTTTACTGTGTTCTTTAAACTGTAGTTTGAAATTTCTGCTCGCTATCTGAAACAGACACTTGGAGCAAACAGGAAATAAATGCACAGTAGTTTGGTCCGTCTTTCCTGGATGGTTGACCTCCTTTGGGGAAAATTTAGAACTATAACAGCTGCTGGCACAGTTGTGAATGATTGTGGTTTAGGATTTTATGAAACTTGGAAGGATAGGATATTTGCCTGGAGCAGGAAGGAGGGTGAACTTTGTCCTTTGGGTCTCTCTCAGATTGCTACAGAATCCACACCTAGCTCTTCCTGTATGTTTTTGGGGTTGGGTTCTTTGGCCAATCATCTGCAATTATTACCACATTGCAGCCTGGCCTGATCCTTCTTTGTCTGGACCACAAAGTCAGGGGCATGTGTCCGGCTCTCTTCTCAGACAGCAGGTGCAGTGCCTCATGGCACCGCTGCCGACAGGGACGCGGCTCGGACTGGAAACTGCCATGAACTCTCATCAGTAGCCAGTTCACTGAGATGTTATTTGGGTTTGAGTTCATTGCATTACATTTCCCTTGAGATTTTACATTTAAAACTGGTATTTATATTTGTTTATATAAAGTCATTATTATTACTTTCCTGATAAAGGGGTGTGTGTGTGTGTGTGTGTGTGTGTGTCCTCTTTGGAAACAAAATTTCTGACTTTATAGCCAAAGTTGGAATGTGCTGGCTTGTGTTCATGTCATTAAAATTGAAAGCCAGTGTTGAAATGATCCACAAATGTATTTGGAGGACTCTTGGTTTCATTTGCTAGTCAGACAAAGGGAGGAACGGGCAGTGTGCTCACTGGATTTTAGATTGCATGTTCATTTCAGATTCACACACGGAGGCACCGGGTGCACTCCGCCTGCAGCACTTAATTTACAGCCAGCTGCCCAGAGGACCGGCCAGGCAGGCTTCCCTAGGCTCCTCCGGAGCCATTTGAATAGAATCTGGGAAGCAGGGATTGAAGGGATAATGGTGGGAAGGGTGATTATGTAGAGGTCTTGGAAATCTTTCATAATTCATTTTACTTTAATTGGCAACTAAATTTACATTATAAGTGCTTTAAATCATTCTCTCAAACATTTTCAACAGTTTTACAGATTTAAAAGTAACATCATATTCAATTTCTATTTGAGACCACATTCCTGAAGTTAGAAATTCATTTTATATCTTACTTTTAAATGTTTAAGAGAAACTAACTTTTAATTTTTATTATTTTCCAATTTGTTAGGGGTGAAAAATTTTAACTATATTTTTATTGATTTTAGAGAGGGAGAGGGAGAGAAAGAGACATCAATGATGAGAGAGAATCATTGATTGACTGACTCCTGCATGCCCCCTACTGGTGATCAAGCTTGCAACCCAGGGATGTGCCCTGACTGGGAATTGAAGGGTAACCTGGTTTATAGGTCAGTGCTCAACCACTGAGCCACACTGGCTGGGCAGGGGTAAAAAAATTTTTATTAACCTGATGAATCTGAGTTTAACTCATTTGCCAATCTAGTTTTCTTGAAAAAATGCACTCATCTGACAATAAAATCTTTATCTTAGATTATCTCATTTGAGCCTGTATTATGAGAGGTGGCATACATATTTTATATGAATAATGGATTGATCTATAAGTTAATTAGATCCAGGAGAACCTGCTGTCAAAAGAAAAATGCTCTGTCAGTCCTTTCTTTACATCAGCTTATTCTGGACCTAATGCTACTGTACGCTGCATTAGTTTCTCAAAAGAGGCACAGATAAACCCAGTCAGCCTCGGGGAGTGAATATTGTCATCACAGGTAGTGTGTGTCGGCGCGGTACTGTGGGGAGTTCTGCATGTAAATAGCATGTGGCAGAGGAAACCTTGCGTTGTGATTATGAAGAACAGGGTGCTTTTGCTTGTTCTCCATTAGAAAAATGATTAAATCACTTGCAAATGATTAAGTCTACTTTTAGCTTTGCTTCCCTTCAAAAGGAAACCCCAGGAGCTTTTTATATAAAGGATAGATCTCAAAATATCTTATCTTTGAATATTGGATTTTTTGAAAGCCCCCTTTCAACATTTTACTGATTCCTATTGGGGAGCCTCTTACCCATCCTTTTAGATGCTTTTTTTGGGTGCAATTAATGAAATGCTCCCTCCTCGCTGATTCCCAGTTTCTCTCTGCTGTATCCTCCCGCACGCCCCCCCCCCCCCCCCCCAGCTCATTGTGATGAGTTTGCAGTCTGATTTTCATCAAGATGAATCTTTGCGCAGTGGACTAGAATGAGGGTGTGAGACTATGGGTGATTTTGTTTTCTTCTTCAACATTTCTGAATTTGCTGTAATGAGCATGGGCACCTTACACTTGGGAAACATTAAATTGGATATTCTTAAAACCAGCAAAAACAATTTTAATGAAATGTCCGACTAAGTGTTTGATTTCCTTGTTTGGTGACATATTCTGATGATGAGATGAGCGTTGTAAATGAAGTGGTGATCCTGGGCACCCCTCCTCATTACCCTCCTTATTTGTCTTGAAGAGTTTACTTGTCTGCTGTTAGAGGATATGTTAATTGACTGATCAGTATTCATTACAAATAATCTTGTCTGTTTTCTTGTCGAGATTCTGAAGGCCCTTTTGCTCTTTTGGTAAGAGCTAAGCAGACTGTATTAACTTCTGGTTTAATTTAAGAAACGAATGTGGAATTGTTGGCGCAACACCTTAAAGAATTGCATGTTTAATAATTGGAAGGCTTTCCATCAGATTTGTCTCCGGTCTGAATTAATAATGGTGCTGACTTATTGTTTTAGAAGACAGAGTCCTTGACCTGCGAGGTTGAAAGAATTGTGACTGCTCTGAACCTGGCGGGTCCTTTAGCTGCGCCATATCCCCTGTGAATAATTAGAGGCATTTGAAGGTATTGAGGTAGAAGCCAATTTGTGTCTTTCACTTTGCATATTGTTGAAGCCTCATGAATTAATCATAGGCAGGCAAAAAATTAACTTCTTCAGACACATATTTTGATGGGTCATGAGGGAGAATGTAAAGTGATCTGTAAAATATTCTACTGATCCTCTGAGTATTAAATTATTATACCTACAGGCTAATTTCAGAGGAAAAAAAGAGTTTTTCCTCCTTCAGTAATTGAGTAGCAAATTTGAAAAAAATAAAGATTTGTTATTTTCTAGGACTGTTAAGAGGACTATAAATGATTAAATTTATGACTTTTTGAAAACCAGATCCTTGTGTTAATTATTGTTTTAAGTTTTTTTATTTATTGTTCTTTTTATTTTTAAATTACTTGATTTCTAGACTGTTATAACTCCAATTTATACTTCTTGTTGATTTAGTGAACTGTGAAACCAAACAAATAACTCATCTCTCTCACTTTAGGCATCTAAATCACCAAGTCAGAGTAATGTGGGTTTCCATACTTATATAAATCCAATTTTACATTAAAATTATTTTCCACTTTCTGTTTATCTTTTTTTCAGCCAATGAAACTGAAATTGCATTCTTCTGTGAAGAAGATTATAAGAACTACAAAGCTAATCCCATTTCATCCTGGTGAAAACCCCACGGGCTTCCTTTTTGCATGCCTGTATTAAGCTCTTTATTCCACTAGTGAGTTTTTAAATTGACAAATAAACTATAAAAATTAATCTCGGGCTCTGCTATTTGAGTAAAAATCTGTGGTATTTTCTCTCTCTGCCATTCTTGTTTTTCTTTCTTTCTGGTTATAAAATAATATATTTATTTGTGAGAAAATGCTTGATGGATTATTCATTTATTTGTTTTTCTGGAAAAGCCATTTGAAATGGCGCGGGTGGGCCTGAAAGTTGGGTGGGGCAGGGTTTCAGGGAATCACCAGGTGGGCAAGCAGGGTGGGCCAGGTTGATGGAGACTCAGATATGGCACCCGTCTGCCAGCTCTGTGGGAGGAGGACGCAGCAAAGGAACCATGGCCTCTGCCAGCACTTCTGTCTGGGAGTAAGCTGCCCCTCCAGCCCTGGACAATTCAGTTCCTCCCTGTATATCCCTGGAGTTTTTTGAGCACCTGCCCAGTGCTGGAGCTCAGAGCCTGTGAGTCTGAGTAAGTCTGTGCATGGGCCCTTTAAGGGAACACCCGGGACTCTGCAGCCCTTTGTCTCCTCTTTTACAACTTCTGCTTCCCGCACTGGAACCCTGGGCTGGGGAGCCTGGTACAGGACTGGGACTCCTTGCTCCTCAGGGTAACCCTTAAACTTTTTTTTTTTTTAATGTTTTATTGATTTCAGAGATAATAAGGGAGAGAGATAGAAACATCGACGAAGAAGGAAAAGAGAGAGAAACATAAATGATGAGAATCATCCATTGGCTTCCTCCTGCACGCCCCCTACTGGGGATCAAGCTTGAAACCCGGGCATGTGCCCTTGATGAGAATCGAACCTGGGACCTTTCAGTCCACAGGCCGACACTCTATCCACTGAATCAAACCAGCCAGGGCTCCCTTACCTTAATCCCCCACCTGGGTGTGGGACAAGCTCCTGGCCACCCCTTCTACCCATTTCCACACGTTTCTTCTGTACATCCTTAGTTACAGTGAGAGGGCGAAAGAGGGCTAATTCCAATGTAGCCCTGATGTTTGGGGGGCTAGCAATCTGGATCTGTGTCAGCAAGCCCAGTGTACATTCTTGATGACCTATAATTAAGTCACTACCTCTTTCCCAGGAACTGGTCTTGCAGAACCTGTTACTGTAAACAGTGCACTGCCTGGAGGGAGGGTTATTAACGCTGGCGCCAGGCCAGACCATCAGATATGGCCTGGAGACCCCCAACACCCGGGGGCCTTCTCGCAATGCCCGAGGAAAGGACCGGAAGCATATTCATATTTGCAGGACAAAGACCACAGGGAGCTATAAAGGAGAAGCCCCCTGCATGTTACTTTATTCAGATTTGGAAAGTTATTCCGAGTCCGCTGGCGTAAATAAGCAGTGTCACTCCTTGTCTCTAAAAGTATTGCTTGGTTTTCTACAACATCAGGACTTGTGATCTAGACTAAAGGCAGTTCTCGATGGTTGCCCTGTAGTGTAGTGTAATTTTGATGAGCTCATGGGAAGAGGTGAGTACTGTGTTTACTTACTCCACTTTCTTGACTAAAAGCTCCAGTCCAGAATTTCGAAGTTTGATTATTTAAAAGTGAAGAAATAGTTTTTCAGAAACCACTACGGAATATTTGTTCTTTAGTCATACATAATTTGTTTTTCTGAAGTTAGGGGTTGTTTGGGTGACTTGTATGCTGAGTTCTTTAAAAAGATTGTAAGACTAATGTGATTCTGTTTGTTCTTTATTTTTCCATAGTTCCTAATTAAAGGCACTGTTGCTATCTTTGGCTAGCAGAGATTTTAAGAGTCTCTTATGACTATCAAAGCCATCTTTTACTCATGGTGATGCACACCACCACTCATGAAATTGAATCATGTATATTTTAGGAAGGTTTTTTGATATAAGAAAGTTTCTTCTTTCAATATTTCAGCATCACAAATAACGTTTCCGAAATATTTTTATGTGAGCTATGTTTTCTGATGTAAGAAGCAAACTGCAATAGAACCAAACTCATTTATTTGGAGAAGGAACGTACCAGGATGTTTGCACTTCGTTGGGAACAAGGCTAGTCATGGAAGACACATTCTTTCCAATAAAACATCAGCTCCTAAGAGTACTGCCCACCAGCGCCTGAGGAGGAGCTGAAAAGGGCCTCTCGCTCGGGCAGCTCGCATCTAATCGGAACGCCTAGACAGGTTGTTGGCTCTAGAATTACTCCATGAACCTTCAAAATTGCCATCAGAGCAAATTGGTTTGTTGCATGGGGGTAGAGGCTAACTTGAGAAAAAACATTATTTTTAAAACTCAACTTTGAAAGTGTGGTTAACATAATAAGATGATTTTGTTGTTGTTGAAAGATTTAACAGAGCCTATTTTTAAATGAAATTTATTGTTTCATTAAGTGAACTGCTGAATGCACACACGATTTAGGCTTCTGGGGGCTAATAAGACACAGTTTTGCCTCAGTAGGGAAAGATATATTAGCAAGTAATTTTAATGGCAGTGAAAAACTGCTACAGAACCATTAATGATGGGATAATTAATTCTATGTGGGATTAAGTTTTATTTTAAAAGATTGAGTAGGAATTTTTGCTTAGTGGAAAATAAGGGAAAGGCATTTAGGAAGAAGGACAGCATATATAAAGGCAAAGCACTGTGGACAAGCGTGGGTGTTTACTAGAAAGTACAAAATTCATCAATAATAATAAAAGCATAATCTGCTAATTAGACCGGACATCCTTCCGGACGAAGCTGGGGCTGGGGAAAGCCAGTGCTGGCAGCCGGGGGAAGGAAGGCTACTGTTGCATGAATTTTGTGCATTGGGCCTCTAGTTGGAGTATAAAGCACTTGAAATAAAGTGGAGGAAGATAAAACCAGAGGTAAGTTGAGCCTTGTAAGTCATGCTAAGGAGTTAGAAATTTATCTAGTTGGTAGCTGGGAGACAGTCAAAAGATGTAAACAGGTAAATTACATGATTAGATTTGTATTTTAGGAAGTGAGCATTGTCCAGACGGCAGAAAGACTAGAAGGCATTAGTCACAGACGAGGTGAAACCGGGAAGGCCTTGCCCTAGGACCCAGCGGAGGAGAAGAGGAGACCTCCTTGCGATAGTGTTAGCCTTTGGTCATGCATTGTTTTAGGTGCTCTGCATTCATGATCTCATTTAATTTTTACACAACTCTTCAGTCTTGATAGTGTCATACCTATTTATAGAAGAGGAGACGGGGGCCCAGAGAGGTAAAGGGATTCACTCAAGGCAAGGCAATGATGTGTATTGGGGTCGGAGGATGGTCTGTTAAAAACACTGACCTGGCCTCTCGGTCGAGGTTTGAGGTAGAATTATCACTCGAGGACGACCAGCCCAGCGCTGCCCTCACAGCAGGAAATAGGGTTCTGCTGTGGCATCCAGGAAAGAATTTTGGGATACACACAGTTTAAGCAGTAGTGGCAAGGTTTATTAGAGTGAAAAGAGGTGGTACACCCTCAGAGAGGTGGAGTGGGCAGGCTGCACGAAGTCCTTGCTAAGCCTCCATATATTTTCTTGAGTTTGGGAATGATCAGACTTTCTCTCACATGATCCGTTCTCTTTCCTGGCTTTCCCTGTGCCCTCCCTTCATCCTGTCTTTTCCAAGGTTTCTTGCCCTCATACTGATCTTTCCCCACAAAGTTCCCAGGCTAGTCCCGACCCCCTTTATGATTGCCATTTTGGCTCCTGTGCATGCCTCAGAGTTCTGCTTCATCATTTGGCTTCTACTGCACATGCCCTTAGTGAAAGGCATTTCCCTTGGTGGTCCCTACCCCCTCCTGTTAATCTGGTAGAACGGTGCTGGGTGCTTCTCAGGGGACTAAACAGCATTGTTCCTGCCTGCTCAGATGCCTGGAGTGACTGAAACTGCCCTTCCCTAGTTAATCCGGCTTAATCTGATGCCTGGTTTCGTTTGCTGGGGTCCTTTTTGTTAATATCTAGCTATCTGCCCGCTGTATCAGAATGGCCAGTAGAATTGTTGGGACGTGATGAGTGACTGGGGGTGGAAGGTGGAAGAGTAGAAGGAAGAGTGGAGACTTCAGTGATTCTTGCTTGAGTAGGTGACTGGATTGATGGTGACAGCATTAACCCAAACCGTGGATTAGTAAGTAGAACAGACTACAGCATATTCCATTTGTTCATTTAGGTTTTTTATTTTATTTTTATGTTATTTTTTTTCTTCCCATTTAATCATTTTATAAACATTCAGTTTAGACACAAGTTTTTAAGTAAAAAGTAAGCATATCTTTACCTGAATGTTTTCTTTTTATGAACAGTGCAAAAATATTATATGTACATATGATCCTTTTGGTGTGTATTTATTTTCCTTATTAGAAAGTTACATACAGACTTTTTTTCACTTATAAACAGGATGTAAAAATAAAGACTAGAAATATATTATGATTATAATGGGCTTTTACCAGAAATGGAAATCTTCCATTGGTACAAAACTATAGAAATCCAATTGATGTAATTCACACAATCCGTAGATTAAAGAAGAAAGAAATTACTATCTCAATAGATGCATTTGATGATATACAGTCCCATGAATGAGTAAAAATTTAGAACAGAATGTCCTTCACTTGATGAACGCTACTTAATGAAGAACAAGAAGCACACCTATTACACATGATTAGGGCAAGGGTGACCACTATCAACAGGACTATTAGGCACTTTCTTCAGCTCTCATTGTGGTGGACAATAAGAAAAGGAGTCAGAAAACCCACAACCACTGGAAAGGAAGAAAAGAATGCTTATTTGCTGACAACATGATTGCAAAAGAATCAACTGAAAGGTTACAAGAACTAATAAGAGACTTCCGGAGTGCTTAATAATGAACCTAAAATGAAGTATGCTTAAAAGCTATAAAAAGGGTAGTAGAGGCCCTGACTGAGGAACTGAGTTGGTTAGAACATCATCCCAATACTCCAAGGTTGCAGGTTCAATCCCTGGTCAGGTCAC